CTTGGTTTTGGCGCCTTGTTTGAATTAATTTGAATATCTCAAGTAGTTGTGGGTTGTAAACTACATAGGACCAGGCTAAGGCCAACAAGTGTTTCCTTCCTTTTACGCCACATGTCAGTAGTTGGTTGCACATAGAATTATAAATATGCAGGGTACTTTATTCTCGAAATATAGGTAGCAATGTTTTGAGACTAACACTTTGGACGTTTTTAGGCAACATAAAACAGTAGGCAACAATATAGAATAAAACCAAATAATTTAGGAAAAAAGAATAAGACAAACAACTTTACGGAAAACTCAATTCTCAATTTGTATTATTTAAAGTGAATACAAGAACACTTAGATTTGTGTCAGCCTTGGAACTATAAGATCACATAGACCTTATACTTAGATTTGTCCCTCTATTTAGTATTCCCTAATACTTAGAAGAAAAAATCTGAAATTCCACAATAAGGCAATTTGCACATTTATCATTCTATGTGCAACCAACTGCCGACATGTGGTGTAAAAGGAAGGCAACACTTGTTGGCCTTAGCTCGATCCTATCTTATATAGTTGACAACCCTCAACTACTTGGGATATTCAAACTAATTCAAACAAATCACCAAAATCAAGTCTCAGTCTAAATAAGATAAGACTACACTTTTTGTAACCACCAGTCATGTGATTGGAATGTGCTTTGTAACTGCCGAGTAGATTTGACTTTGCTTGTCTTCTGGTCGAGCTACACACATGCATACCGCTGCCTTACTTAGAATTTTCAGCCTTGCATTGCTCCCACTCAATGCTGCCATGTCAATGTCCAAATTCATATAATTCCCTTGGCATAAATATCCCTTGCATTGCTGCCTTAGCTTTGCCTTGCCCTTGTCATGTCTTTGAATATCAACGTCACTCCCACGTACCATTTTTAATACTTCACCTTGTCGAGTCTTCACCAAGCTGCCTTGCTCTCAAGTCATTGGTCCTCACTTGCCATTATAGAATTAGGCCTTGGTGCAATTGCGCACACCTTAGCTTTGTCAACAGAATGTCGCCAACTTAGCCTTGCATGTTTGTTTCTTTAGATTATGCAAGTGACAATGTCAACATGCTTTAAACACTTGTCAATTTTTTCATCTAGCTAAGTCACTGGATTAGGGGCCTAACAGAGTTCTAGCACCCCTTGAACGGTTTAAAAAGGAAGTTATTATCTCCTCAATTACTTACCTAGCAAAGTAAGTATATTTCAGTCTCTTTTCATAATAATGTTTTTTTAAAATTATTTTTTTCTTTATTTATTTTATTTCTTCTCTCTCACATGCCCTCCCCGTTATTGTTCCAAACAGGCCTTCACATTGGAGCTCTAATAAACAAACATCACTGAAACAACCAAACTACCTCCACCATCAGAGCAACACCTTCACCGAACCAAAACCTTTTTAGTTGTCTCTCTTCCTTGTCAGTCATTATTGACGAGCAATAAGACGTTGATCCAGCGAATCACCAAACGCCCCCACCTTCTATTGCTATCAGTAATGAAAAATCAGTGAAATCTCAATTATTTTTTTCTTTTTGGGTTGGATTAGAATTGAATTTATGATGATTTTGGTGACAATTTGAGTATTTGTCTTCAATTCAAAGCTTTATTCCTAAAAAGAGATGGCGGAGAACTCTTTAAGTAGGTGAAGAAGATAATAAATGCGGGAAAGGTGATGAAGGCAAATGTGGAGGCGGGTTGGGGTATCTTTCCCAAGGAATCCGCCGATATTTCCTCCAAATTAGGCTTTCAGAAAGAAATTGGGTTAAAGGAAGAATATGAAGGAGAAAAAAAATTAAAATAAAAAAATTAATTGGTGAAAACACGTGCTAAGCGTGTGTGTTTCACCACAAGACGCATGATTGATTATTGCGTTTTAAAGGGTTGTAAATTTCACTTTTTAAAAGTTTAGGGGGATAATAGGTCTCCCGTAAAAAAAAGATGTATAGTTGAGAATCCACTAATAGGTTGGGAGGACATTTAACTACTTTCTACATATTTTTTTGACATTTAACTACTTTCTACATATTTTTTTCATTCTGTTTATACTTGATTTAACCTACACATTCATTGTAAAGAAAAGTTGAGTGCTATATAATATTTCTTATAGAATTATTTTTTAAAGTCAAATAATTAGATTGTTAGGATTTCATTATCTTGTAACGATAAAATTATTTATTATGATAATAATGTTCATTATAGTTATTCATTACAGTTCAATATATAATTTTCAGTTATACTAAATTACTTAATATTTTTCACTGTAATTTATAAAAGAATAAGATTGGTAAGTAAAATTTTGAAATTTATAATAGGAAGATAGTTAATATCCTTTTGCCACGAAACTTAACATATTTATCAAGTACAATAAGTATTTGGCTGACTTTTTTTAAGATAGGGAAAAAGATCTGAAATATATCCGAACTTTGATCGAAATTGTTGTAACAATACCGAACTTTGGAAAGGACCTTTTGCCCCCTGCACTATTTAATAGTGTATTTTAAAGGTATATATGTGCCCACGTGGACATCATAAATATTGCATAATTATAAATAGTAACATGTCCACGTGGGCACATATATACCTTTAAAATACACTATTAAATAGTGCAAGGGGTAAAAGGTCCTCCATAAAGTTTGGTATCGTAATAACAATTTCGGCCAAAGTTGAAGTATTTTTCAGACCATTTTCCCTTTAAGATATTGAGTGATTTTAGAAATCAAAATCAACCTAATAACACTTGGAATGTATGTCAAGAAGATTCTTAAAACTTGTCGTGAAATCCCTTTCACTTAAGCTAATGTTAATTCTGACATGATTGTTTACAATGAAATTCAAATGTCAATTGAAGTATTACAATTAATATTATTTTTGTTATTGTGTATGATACTTGTTTTTACGGACAAATGTCAATGAAAATATAAAGCCTAATTTGAATCAAATTTATTTTTTTTAAAAGTTTATCTGCTACCATTATTAATATTGTTATAGTCATTTTTATTGTATCTAGTTTCATATGTCTATTAGTGATGTTTGTTCTTATGGATCAAATGTTAATAAAAATATAAAAGGAAGATTTGTATCAAACTTACAAAATAAAAAGTGATAATTATATACTATTTGTATTAGTAATGAATGATGTTATTTTTGTGGCTAGTTTCATAAATCTATTGAAGATGTTTGTACTTTTTTAGAGGTTATTAATGCGATCATCTCAGTCTTGATGAATAAATCATGCTAGAACATTTTTAATGGAGTAAAATATTGATTCATTCTCAAATTTTGATGTTGTTGATTATTATTGATAGATTATCATTTCAATAGTAATCAAGTTATTTGGTTGATACAATATTTAGTATTTTTTACATAAAAATACTATTACACAAATGAACCTATTGTACCAACAAATATTGATGATATTGATTATTTAAATCAAATAACAAATTTCATCGAGTGACAGTAACAACTTATTTAATGTAAAGTTACTAAAAGATAAAATCTTTTTTCTCAACATTTAAAAGTGGGGATGAATATATCATAACTTCTTTACTAGAAAAATTGTAATACCAGCACGAATCGATATCATAAAGTTTATTTAACCAACAAAAACATATTTCATAAAGCTTGTTTCATTAATTAGGATCAATGTCACTAGCACATTCTATACCTCAATTTTATTTTTATGAGATTTTCTATTTAAATTATCTTCAAGGTCGGGATAATAATATTTATCTTTATACGTGGAAATAATAAAATCTATCTATATAATAAAGCTAGATGTAGGAGAGGTGATGTGGCATGCTTCTAAAGCCAAGAATGACATTTATCTTTTTTCAATTTTTTTACATTTATATAATTTATTTAAAAACCTACAAATTATATCTTAATTACATTAATTTAGAAAGCTCAAAAGTTATTATCATTAATTTAATGGATCTTTTTATTTCTAAGTAAACCAAATAATTAATACATTTTACCTTTTACATCCGTTTTGCTCTTTTTTTCCTTTCATGGCCGTGAACATTGAACAATAACTGTAATCTAATTAAATTGAGCAATTAATACATTCAATTTCTATGTTTCTTTATGTTCTTTCATATTCCTTATTTATCTTTATATTGTCAATTTATTTGTGATTGTGAAGCTTCACTTTTGCAGGTTGTTGGGTTTATGCCTAAAGGCTAAAGGGTCTAATTTTACACACAAAACGTCAAAAATTGTGTGACATGTATGGTAAGTTGTTTAAATATATTCTTTATATTTTTTTAATATTATTTTATACTAAATTGAGGTAGGAATTATCAAATAGAAAACTCAAAGGAATAATATCGATTTTTTACTTCGCAGATTTACAGTATTTTATTTTTAATTTGCATCTTCATAATTTATCTTGAGAAATTTACGTGTTATTAGATATCCTATTTTGATCAAATTTATTTGTATGTGTTATATTTTTTTAGGATATTTAAATGTATTCATTTTTACGGTCAAATTAAGGTATGTATTGTTTTGGTTGAGAACTACTTTAGAATCTCTTTATTAATTCTTACTCAACATTTGATAAATCTTGATATATTGTGTTATTCATCTACATCAAGGAATCTCATATATTGTTTTAATTACTAAATAATTGATGTACTTTTTTGGTTGAGAACTACTTTAGAATCTCTTTATTAATATTTCTTACTCAACATTTGATAAATTTTGATATTGTGTTATATCATCTATATCAAGGAGTCTCATATATTCGACCTATAATATCTACCTCAATGTTGAATTCTAAAATAATTATTACTTCCGTTCATTTTACTTATCATATTTTACTTTTTTATGGTTAATTTAACTATTTTTTATGCTAAATTGAATTAGATTAATTCACTATTTTAAAATTTAAATTTAAATATTTTAAAATCTGTATGGAAAATATTATAAGATTCAATGTTTCTCATATTAATATAATAAAAAAATACATATTAAATATAGGTGAAAGTTCATATAATTTGACTATCAAAAAACAAAATATAAGAAACAAAATTAAATGAAGAGTGTATATACTCTACAAATTCATAAACATTTTACTTCTTAATTGACACTGTAATTTTGAAAGCTATTTTTATGTTTCATTGATTTAAAAATAGAGGCAAAACTTAACTTTTTTATTACAAATAATCATTGCAGTGAAGTTGAAATTCATACATATTTTGCAATTTTTTTCATTGCACCTAACAATGATCAATCAAACATGAGTAACAATATATACTACATTAAAAGGAACATGAGCATATGATAAATCAATTAAAAAAGAGAGAGAGACAGGGGATGAAGAGGCTACCACCCTAAAGAACACAAGCTCCAAATACATATAAAGATTGTCAAATTAAATACTTTTAAAATTTTAGTAAAATAATTTATAATATTTTTTGGTTTGTTTAAAAAATAGAATAATGATGGTTTTCTCCAAACTTCTTATGATTCATTTAGTCTCAATGTTCGGAAAATCGAAATAGACAATGCACTTTGTGGTTTTTTTTTTTTTTTTTTTATAAGTATATCTGTATATGTATTTATGGTTCTTTTTCTTTAAAAAAAAATAGGTTTCAAAAAGATTATATATAGATGCTCAAAACATATACAAAATTTCTTGAAATTCTTTTCTTTCTTTACTTCCTATTAAGTAAAATAATTATTTTTTTCTTCACTTATAAGTACACTACACGAGTATTCATAGAAGATTAAAAACTTTTAAGTGATAAAAAAATTATAGAAGAATATAAAAATTAAAGATCTTTTAAAAAAATAATTGAATTGGAAGATCGATTTGCGCGTAAATTCTATTGAAAATATTTAATAAAATTTATATAAAATATTTCAAAACCGTGCGTAACGCGGCCAAATTAACTAGTTCATTAATGTATGTGAAATTAACCATATGATCTTCTAAGCAAACAATTGTATTATTCAAGTATGCATTGCAAAAGATTCTTAAACTTTAGATTCAGGGAAAAGCATACCATTTGTGAATTCACGAAAAAATATTGACAAGTAATATGCAAGCATTGAAAACAAAGTTGTCAATTATACTTCGTTACAAAAATTGTCCTCATCAAATCTAAATTATTGAAAAATACTACGATACACACATTTATAATATTAATGTATATCACTAAGATTATTTTAATTTGAATATCAAATTGATTAAATATATATAAATTACAGATATGAAAAATGTCTCAAGTATCTTCTCTCTTTAGATCATTTCATTATAGATGTCAATAATATTTTTTGCATTATTAATTATTGAGGTGAAAATCTCAGATTTTTTTTTAAAGATTGTCAAACAACAGTTCATAAAATATATGTCAAAATTAGAAATATGATATATTTCAAACATAAATATACTTTTGAAAATATCTCTAAGAATTAAGAAGACTCTTTACGCTCGTGGTTGATGTACATAAGTATCCTACAATGCTTTGATAACGGCATTATCAACAACGAAAGTTTAATAGATGAGCTAATGTGGTAAAAATATTTTTAATTATGTGTTTGACATTAAAATTATGTATTAATAATTTTATTCACTGTCAATCAATAATATCAATAGAAGAAATGTATCTCTGTATTATATACCATATCAAGCTAATGATTTCTATCGAAATGAATGCAAATTTATTAGTATTTTTGTTACTTTTCCTATTACAATTAATGAGAGCATAGAAATATAAAATATAATTTTGAACCATTTGAAGAAACAGGTATTGAAGTAGCGTACAATTATACATTTATTATCTGATAGACATTATGTCATACTAGCTAATTATTTTGAGTTATCGAATTAACAAGCGCTATTTGTTTATCATAACTATTATATATTGTATTTGAAGGGAAACTATTATATAGCATTTAAAAGTGGTCGACTTTAAAAATCTCTATGGGAGAGTAGGTGACTACAACAGATTACCAAAGAAAAAAAATATTTAATGAACAAATGCAATTAATTAGAAAGATATTGAGAAAGCCTACAATTGATTGATGACAGTGTCGTTTGAAAAATAAATCATATACATGAATGATAAAAGGAGATGAAGAATTCTTACAATAAATAACTACGAGATGACTTGCTAAAATCTGTGTCACGCATAATTGATTATTTCAATGGTAAAAATGATTTTCAAATACATTGTAGAACGATTGGTGAGTAAATAAAAATATGTGAAAAAGTCTTTGACAAAAAGTATAATATGAATGTCAATCCATCCATACTATATGAGCATCATAAAAAGAACTTGAAATGTCATATTATTATTAGCAATATGATCAAATAAATTATATATTTGAAGTCAAGATAAATGTACATCAATGTCTTGGGGATATATGAAGTATTAATCTTCAATTGGTGATAGCGTCACATCAATTAAATTTTTGAAAATACCAAATCACCAAGAAATTGTCAAATAAATCATCAAATAGGTGTAACACTCCAAAAAAGTTAAGCCAAAATTTGAATTGTACTTTGTATGGATGCAAGATTGTATCGAAAAATTCTATGTTAAGATTCATTACCAAAGGTAGGAAGTGTATCCAAAGTGGTTTAAGTTCATTAGGGACCTCTAACACTAAGTTGAGTTCAAAGCCTTTTCTACTACCTAAATTTTCTATGAAATCATGCAATCAATTTCAAACGATCATATTTCTTAGAATATAAGGAGAAAAGTGGATCATGACCTATCAAATTAAAGATCTATGTGTCTTCTTTTCAGCACCACCAACCATTTTTAAATCCAAATCCCAAGGAAAAAGTTATGACCATTAAACAATACTCTCCAATTTGAAATTTTAGCAATAGATTTCACGAACCGAAAACTACTGATTGTGAAAGCATTAGCGAATCATGGACCTTGTTTGTGAAATTGAAATTCTCTCCTAAGTTTCATGAAATCAATCCATGAGCCATGGATCATTTTATGGCTGTAGATCATGTATACCACTCGTATATCATGTATATCAGTTGTACATTAATATTTTCAAATTTCATAAAAATATTATTTTGAGTTTCTTTTCTCATTTTCACTCTTTGGTCGACCTCAATAGCACCCAAAAACTCTATTCAACCTTATTAAGTTTTGGTAAGTATTCTCCATGTTTTATGTTATAAAATCTTAGAATTTCTGTAAGATTTTAACAACAAATTCTTTCCCATCTCTAGTGAAATCAAGAACTCAATTTTAAGGTTCAAGACTTGATTTCTAAGCAAGTCCATCAAGATTTCTTCCATTCAAATCAAGGTAAGCATACTCTCATAATTCTCATGTAATTATGTATTCTAATTAAGCAATAATCTATCATCATAACCTAGGATTTTCAAGATAGTTCAACTCAAGGTTCAAGAACGGACTTTTGTGATTCTCCGTCAACATTAGGGTTCTTCGTCATGATTTCGGAGCATTTAAGGTTTGTAAGGCTACCATACTGTGGAACTTAGTTCTTCCTCAAGTCTTACATCAACAATTTCAATTAGTAAAATCAAAACTAAGGTTCAAGTTCAGTGATTCTACAAAAAAAAATTATTTCATGTATGTGGGATTTCATCAATGGATATCCTTTCACTCATTGAGTTTCAAAGAAAAATTTAGTATTTTGATCAGATATTTAATTCTGTAGAAATCTAGGAGTCTTATGATGAACGTTGCTTTAAATATATTTCAATTCCTCTTCATTACAGCCTATAAAATACATGTTTTCCCAAATTTTCATTATGTTTGCTTAAGTATATTTTCATGAACCCTCATAACAAGTGAATTGCATATTTTTGGACTTGTAATTGCATGTTTCAGTCAGAATAGAAAATTTTATTATGATCATTTTTGTATTCAGTCTTTCATTAATTTCTCAAACGTAAGATGCTTTCAGCTAAAGTGTTTGTTATTTCAATATTCAAGAGTTATTCAGTATATATTATCAAAATTATCATATAAATTCAGTTGAGAGTATTACTTAGCACCGAGTAGACATGAGAATAAATGTTCACTATTAAGACCTTTAGTAGTAATTCCTATGTCCCAAAACTACGTACCACTATATGCTATAAGGGTCACTCGACAGTGCGAAGTTGACTCAGTCCTTTTTGGACGAATAACTTTGTGAATCCATGCCATCAGTGTCTCTTACCATGTACGTAGTTCAGTTCCATATTCACTTTAACATCTCAAATTTCATCATGCATGTTCAACTTTACAGATTATGATGCATATCTCAATACATTCAAAAGTAATGATCACATACCTTTTTGCCTACATTTTTATGTGATGTATATTCAGATGCTTACTATCATGATCTTAGTTAAGTCGGATCACAACTTTCAGTCAGCAAGTGATGAGTTTTTTTTTTCGAACTCAATAATTTAGTCTGTAGTTTCTACATTTCATTTCTGTTCACAAGTATTGATTAAGGTGACCAGGGGTCATGGCCTTACTACCTATATATATATTCATGAGCTTTAGTAGAGGTTTCATAGATAATCAATTAGAATTGTTATATTTAGTCTACTTTGTTTCAATTTTTATTCAGATTACAATAGTAGTATAGTATACAAAACAAACTTTATTCAGTGATGTATATTGAATTATGCTTCTACTTAGTCATTTTAGTCTTTACTCATGTTTATACTCAGTTTCTCGTGACTTATGCAGTATCAAATTACAACTAGAGAATAGTCTCGAATTGGTGATAATATATGATACTTGTTCTTGATTGTTATATATCTTGTTTAGTTGTCTATAATCATCGCGCATAGATTCATCCTTCTTCTTACAATTGATCATTCAACTCTTTTAACTATATAGCAGAATAAATGAAATTTTACACCCCTCGATCGATCACATCTTGTGTTTGTTAATGTTGAAGTTGACTTTAATTTCTTCTGCTTTCTTAAAACGTAATGTTCATAAAATTCAATCTTCTTACCTTTCAAAAGTTTATGACTACTCAAAATCT